CATACATGAAAGGCCTACCATTCTGAAATAAATCGGGTACATCATTAACGAAAAGGCAAAATAAAAGCGGGCCGAGTACACTACCCTGAATGACTCCACTCCTCACACGTGTGGGGTTGGAGATGGTGTTGGAAATCTTAACTCGTTGTGTGCGAGTGCCCAAATAAGAGGATATACAATTCAAAAGTTTGCCACCTATTCCGAAAGCGGACAATTTCAAGAGGAGAAGAGCATGGTCAACACGGTCAAAAGCCTTAGAGAAATCGAAATATACCGTGTAAAGTGCAAAACCATTGTCCCTAGATTGGAGAACATAGTCAAAGAAAGAGAGTTGACAGGTGTCACAAGATCGAGCTTTGAGGAATCAATGCTGAGCAACACTCAGTAAGTTGTTCGCTGTTAAGTGACACATCATCTTATCCTTGATCAATGTCTCTAAGATCTTCGAAACTGCGGGGAGGGTGTTTATTGGCCGAAAGTCATCAAATGATGTAGAGTTGCCGTGCTTAGGAATGGGCAAAATGTGTGATTCCTTCCACAAGGTAGGATAAGTTTCACTTTCAAGAGCAAGATTAAATATCTTGCATAGAGAGAATGGGATGATCGTGTTTGCATCGACTTTTAAAATGCTTACTGGGACACCATCAGGGCCTGGACTATAAGATTGACGAAAACGCCGAATCGCAACAGTCACATCCCACAGAGTGAAACTTATAGTTTCTAGAACTGCCCCGGTCAATGACTGGATGGTCGGAAGCGGAGTGGTCGAGTCTTCAATAAGCGTTTTGGACAGGAAATCATTGAAGCTATCCGCGGTTAACTGGGCATCAACTATGGGATTTCCGAGATCGTCTCGAAGGATGGGATACTGCGTCTTTCTCTGAGTTCGTATTTTTCTAGAGAAAAGTTTCGAGACACTTAACGAATGGTTTTCAGTAAAGTGGACCTCTTCGGCTAGCTGTTTTTCTTCAGACAATCTCTTAGCTCGATCAAAAATATCACAAATCAAGGGCAGAACAGAAACATCGTTCTGCAGATGGAAACGACGATAAAGTCTGCGCAATCTGCGACGAAAGGGTAAAGGTAGGAAAATCTCATCCCCAACATTAATAATTTTCTTACGGGGGACAAAACGAGGAATAAACGGACCCAAAATTTCATCAAATAATTATCTGTCCTGCGTACCGGTTACTTATCGAAGCCCTACTATATATCCAGCAAATAATTCATACATGAATTGCCCTAAGTCATTTATGCCCCAGCCTAGTTCAGGCTCCCCACCGCTTTAAGCCAATTGCTCTCAGGTACGTCACCCTAACTCCTTTGACTTCCAACCTGGACTTTTTTCCCACACTTTTATTCTTCCAGCTGCCTACCCTCCCCACTAGCCTCTACTTTCCTTCTGGGCTCCCTCCTCCTCCCCTTTCTTCACAATTTAACTACCAACAAGTCTATCCATGCTCTAACTCCCCTAGCATTCCAATGTTCGAAAACTATATCCCCACATCCTTTAGGTCTCATGCTGAGCCTTCTCATGCTGGCTCCCCGTACGTCAATAAGTCTAGACTAACTGGCACTTATTATCCAAGCGTCATTAATTCACAGCTTATATATCCGCCTCCAAATTTTTTTAAATACCGTCGACAATGGCATTGCCGTTCGAAATACATTAGATATTACATTATTGAATGTCAGGTCTGTTATAAACAAGATGACCCAAATCAGAGCAATTGTTCTCGAAATGACGCCTGATATTATATGTGTAACGGAATCTTGGGCCCATTCTCTAATTCCTGACTCTGCCCTTCTCATGGATGACTTCGGTTTTTACCTTCAAGACCGCGCGACTAGGCGTGGGGACGGCTGTCTTCCTTATCTTAAATCTTACATAAAGCACTCTCCATATTACCTGGATTTTACCTCATTCTCGGGAAACTGCTGCTTTGCATCTGCTATTCTCTCGCCGCAAAGAAAGGCAATTATTGGCTG